GTTATTCTAGAGGATGGAATTCTAGGATTCATGATGCATGATATATTTAAAACTTGATGGAAAGAGAAGATATGTGAGACAACTTTGTTAGTTCTATGAGAGGAATTAGCATATTCAATCTTTGGTGGCAGAAAATGGTGAGTCCTCCCTAGGAACTTCTCTTTTAGGCAGAGATGGTATCAAAAGTATTTCACAGAATGTCATATCGGGTCTGAAATCTCATGCTGAGCTATCAGTGGGCCATCAGTGATGTGCCTGAAGCAGGTGTATAATTCTCTGTAGTGTGCCCCTGGCTTGCTTTTTGAATAAATTATTGTAAGCTTAAAACTAAGACATTTTCAGAAAGCTTTCTAGGAGATCCTAGATTGACTCCATCAATCTGACGTTCTTGAGGCAGTGGTAGGAGTAACCCAGTGTTCTGCAGTTCCCAGGGTGACAGGAACAGATTGGGGACATTTAAGGTAATCTAGTTGCTCCACTGGGAGTACGACATTGCCACCAGAATCTTCAGTGTGTTTGTGATTTTCAACCAGAGACACCTGTACTCTCTAGGCTCTGTGCCACAGCTGTAAGCTTATGAAACTTGAATAATGCAGCATAATGACTATGGAGTGCTCAAGGGTTCTTACATGTACTCCACTTCTGATGTGAGTTAAGGATGCAGCTGAGGTGGGTTTTAGAGTAGGAGGGAAAATAACTCTACATCAGTATTGTCCTCAAAGGATACTCTCTTTGGAGTGCCTCTTTGGTAGCTAGCTACCTGTAGTTTGTAGGACTCTTCTTTCACGTCCCCAGCTCCTGTGCTCAATAATGCTTCTGTGATAGGGGGAGAACCCAGAACTCTCCATTCCTCACCTTACCCTTTGCTTCAGGACACATGGGAATTCAAGTGGGGAGCGAGAGGAGTAGAGTATGGAGCCAACTGTTCCCCCGCTTCCAGTCTGCAGGCACAGGAGGCTGTTAATTCTCATGTAGTCTCTCATGACTCACCAGAAGCTCCCGAGCCCAAGAGCTGTGCTGGTTTGATATGAAGGAAAGGAAATAGGCAGTAGAGTCACAGACTACATCTCTTTTCCTACACCACACTGGAGAGAAACTTTCTCCTTCTCTTACCTCAAACACTTACTCTAACCCTTTGTCTGCCCGGAAAAACATGCAGTGCATTTCCCTTTTAATCTAAAATGTTCCTTTATGAAATAACTGACTCGTGTCATAGGGAAGGCACTTTATCTCTGTGTTCTTTGTTTCATCTACTTCTAGCTGTGACATTGATTGATGTTTATTAAATCCCTAAGCTCCTACTGGAAAATGTGGTTATTATCGCAGAGCGTATAATCAAAGAAGTGTGGGAGAAATTATGCAGGAAGAAAAACTTTCTTGACTTAAAAGAAAAAAATTGTGTTAATATTTGCAATTATACACATAAGGGAAACATTTTAACAAATAGAATTTCTTCTTTAAAGTTTTTAAACCAAGAGTTCATTTTGGTTAATTTTTTCTTCACTATCTTACCAGTTGGCTACCTACATGCATTTTAGCATCTGTGTTACTGTGAAAAACAATTTAATAGATGACTCTGATTATCATTCCACATGGCAATAGTAGTCAGATTATAGTCTTGCATTTAAGATTAGAAGTTCTGTAATAAGGCATTGAGGTATCAACTAACCTTCAATCATTTTAAAAGTTGATAATCACTTTAATGGATTATAATGCGATGTTTTTAAAAAGATATATTCCTGATCATATACATTCTGGGTGTTGCAAACAGTTATCAGATAACTCTATTGACAAAGGGAATTCCAACAGTTATAAAAATATACTGTCTCTATCTTCAGCCAAATACACTAAATTCTGCTCTCAGCTAGGTTATTTGTTTTCCTGCACAACCATTCCAGAATCTGAAGCCAAGTAGCTGACTGACATTGCAACACAGCTCTATAATTATAGTCAGCAATAACATTCCTGAAAGAACTCAGTAGAAATCTGTTTGTGGATGAATTGCAGAAAAGCATAGTTATATTGAATTTTAGAACAAATACATTATAAACTTAAAGGTTTCTTTTCCCTTTCAAATCAGTGCTATAATAAATGGATGATGGTTTTGGTCTTCTGGGGAGGAGGAAATCAGAGTTGTGGTTTATATCTATTTGCCAGGCAAACACCAGTTGTACTCTGGCTTCAGACTCCCTCTGTCCTACACCCTTATTCACAACACCAGGTAAATGCTGAGATGTTCTATGAAGAACTGGGCAAAGGTATGAACTCTGCCCCGTACCTACCTTTGATGTTCCAGGTTACTTCAAGATGGTCTGAATATTCTGCGCTTTGAAGAGAAAAATACTTCATTCCTTTCAAATAGTAGTCACTCAGGAACTATTGCCTCCATAACCATCTCCACATTCCTTATTCCAAGAACTCTGATTAGATCTGGAAGGGAAAGAAATGGCCATCTTCAATTATGGCTCTCAGAGACTTTTCTGGACAGTTAATAGCCACATAGTAAATTTCTAACCCCGTAAATCAAAGGCCCAATCAAGTGCAGCTTTCTGTACTTCTGTGAGGATGCCAGTGGTGCATGCTTCTGACTCTGTGAGACATTTCAGCTTGGTAGGCTAGGTGAGTTTGAATCCAAGTATGGTCACTTACTATTTGAGCAACTTTTAAGAGTTTTAAATAGTTCTCTGTAGAAGCTTCAGATACTTTGTTCCCTTCTCTGTGAAATAGGTTGAATAATGCTGTGCACATCATAGAGTAATTGTAAGTGTTGAATAAATTGTTCAGCACAACACTTAGAATTGTGCCTAGCTCTTCATAAGTTCACCAATAAATCATGATTGGCATTCGTGTTTATTACTGCTGGAAATAGGCTCCACCTCAGGTAAAATAGGTAGTCGTTGATAATACTATGAATTAATATAAAGTATTTTTAATATTTCTTAAAAATCTTGGATGAGCCAGGCATGGTGGAACATGCTTGTAATCCCAGCACATGGGAGGCTGAGGCAGGAGAATTAAAGTGAATTTGAGGCCAGCCTGAGGTACATAGTGAGTTGAAGGCCAGGTTGAGGTACATAGTGAGTTGAAGGCCAGCCTGAACTAACAGCAAGACCCTGTCTCAAAAAAAAAGTAATGAAAATGATGACCATTAAACAGAAGTTAAAAAATGAGTAAGAAAGGATGTTAGCATAAATTATTTCATATAATTTAAGAACTAATCATTATTTTGTAGTTTTTCAATTGTTATTTTAAACAAAAACTATTTGTGAGAAGTATTCTGTGTAAAGAAAACTTTATTTCAGGTAATTTGACATTAGCAAAACAAGTTTCATGTTTGGAAGGCTATGTTCTTGAAAAATGTACAAATTTTCCCACTTTATTTTGTCCTCAAATGTTTCCTAGGGCTCATTTGCCTTTCTTCTGTTTCTAAAGATCACTTTGTAATAATGTGGACACATTAAAGAGAGATCAAAGTTGACCCATACAGGTAAATAATTGCTTACAAGTCAGTTCTAGGAAAAATAGACAGGAGACTAAAATTTAATAGGAGGAAATAAGACAGAATAAATTGAGTGAAAAAAGTCTCCTTCTATATAGGTACTAGAGAGTCACTGTGACTTCACAGAGTATTTAACAAGAAGTTAAGCCTTATGGGAATCTAGACATTGTAGGAGTGAAGTAAGTATAATACACTTGCCAATAGTATCTTGGAGAGTGTGTGTCATTATAAATAAGAATCAATTACTGAGATTGGAATTACTTATACTTCAGAACTTATAAATTTATCAGCAAACAGAATGCTTTCATTTAGCAATAACTAAGAATGTGAGTTTAACTTGCCTACGTAATTTACAGGTTCATTTAACTAAATGAGATCACACAAGGCCTGATCTAGTGGCTCAGTGTTACCACAGGGCCAATATCTCTCTGTAATTTACCTTAAATGATGCTGGCTTCATTTTTCCCTGGTGAAGATCAAGAGCTATTGAGGATTGGTCTATGAAATAAAAACACAGAATATGACATTAGACAAGTAAGTTTTGTGAGTGGAAAACTGCATTCTCATTAGGCTGGTTCCCAATGTAGCAATCCACACTTCCAGGGCTATGTTATTCTGCAGTTAAAATAGAGGAAAGAATGAATTTCTCCACATGCACAATCATTCTGATTGGATCTCCTCATGTGTATGTGCTTAACTGAACCAGTCAAAAGGAACAAGAATCAAAGCACTGATTGGTTGAGACCACATAATTTGCCTCCAAAATGGATCAGAGAAGATTTGTTTCCTTAGAACATTCTCCTCCAACAGAAATCCAGGGCTACTGGGGAAGAGCGAGAGCACTTGCTAAAAGAATACTAGCTAGTAACTGCATAATTTAGATCCTCATGATGAAATTAATTATAATTTCTCTTTGGTAATTTCAGTAAAATTATGTCTTAATTTATGAAATGGACTAGATAGCCTCTCAGTCTTGCCATAAAGATATAGTAATATATGTCATAATTGTGCTCCAAATGAGTGATAAGTTAGAGAGGAAAGAACTCTAATTGTTGTCTAGAGACATGGGGTCTGGCCCTGTTTTTGGTAAATGTTAAAATTAGCAAATCATCTAAGTTTTCTAATAATTAGTTTCATTCTAGAATGACTATCACATTTTGCCTTTTCTTCTCAGTAATGTTGTATTTAGCAAAGGAGATAATATATGAGAAATATTTCATAAAGTGGGTAATAACATTGTCTCTGCTAAGAATGGGTTTAAAATGAATATTTTTAAGAGGCTGTTGTATTCATATTTAGAGCTTGTCAAAGTTTTATTGCCTATAAGCTTTTGCAAATATTCATTTTCATAAATGAACCCAGTATGCAGGCTACTAAATTTATTGTATTGCTCTTAGTCTTATTTAATAAATTGGAATTATTGAAAAGCACACTATATATCTCTATGCGGGTGATTTTAGTACCCATTTGTACATCTTCTTTTCTTTGTTTTTTCCATTAGGTTTACAATATAGAACTACGAAAAGGATAGAAGGAGGACTCTTGTCCATTAAAAGTTTTTCTATAATTCAGAGCTGAAGAAATGAATCAGTGCCATTGTTTTGCTGAAGGTCAATACCAGATAATTCACAAAAAGGTATGAGCCATTTTAGATGTTACTTGCAAGCAAGCCATCTATTTATTTTATTAAGTTGTACCCTGTTTATTAAAATCATGTAAGATACTTGAATTATTTCTAGTATTAGCTTTAGAAAAACATTGCTTTTTATCATTCTGGATACTGCATTGTTTAATGTATTAATTTAAAAATTATTCTCAGAACTGTCACTATTTGTACCTACTCACATACCTCCTTATTCCTACTAATTCAGATAAAGTAAGAAATGTCTTTTCTACTATGCAAAAATAATTTTAAAAGTATTCAAACTTATTCATGTTTTCATGTGATGTCTATCCACCACCCTATGTTGACTCATTTCAAAGAGACTAATTCTAGAAGTCATTCATTCATTATATATTTAACCTTTATTATGTACAAGACATTACACGAAAGGGCTTAAGTATCACATTTCCTAGAAAATCATTTCTGCCTTTCTGGTTTTAGTATCACCATGATATGACACAGAATTATTTTCAAGAAACAATATGAATGGTATCACAGAGAAGGTATTTGACAAACTCTGAGGAAGGAGAATTTATTTTCAGGTTAGCACACGAGAAAGAGCTCTTGCACTGTAGTTAGCTGGACAGAATCATGCGTGGTCATCTGAATGGATGTGTGTGCTTAGCTTAGGGAAGGGGATGAGCAAACCCACAGAGGCAGAAACATACGATGAGGGTTGGCGTGGATGCACCAACTGGTAACCAGCTGGTTTAATTTGGCCTGCAGTAATGTTTTGTTTCTCTTGCACCAGAATTAAAATTCTTTAGAATGTTTGCCAACATTAAAAAGCAGGAAAATTCCGGGTTTCCAGTTTCTGGTAAAAAAGCAAATATTTTTCTACACTCCACACAACAGTGTTCCAATAGCCCCACACAGCTTACCCTTTTCTTCATTCATTTAAGTGTTTCATTTCTGTAATTGAGTTAGTTGCCCCTAGCCAGGATTACAGGGTTAATATTGTGTGTTGTTGATTGCTGTTTCTCTTCTTCAATGTACTAAAACTTGTAAAATTTATTGAAAGTAATATATGTTCCATAAAAATTTGAAATTATTTTTGCAGGGAGATTAAAATCAAGTTCTTTTCAGATCTAATAAAATTTGTATTTCAGTTTATATTGTACTCTTTAAATATAATCAAAGTAGAATTTCTTATCTATTTTAAAAGGCAATTGTTCAGGAATTTTTTTCAGGATGTCAACAATTTTATGTTTGGAATAATACTCACACAATTTGGTAGGGTACATACACACACTGTTGATTGACTGAATTGTATTTGAAGTGAAGATAAGCTGTTTTTAGAATGCAAAACTTGAACCTTAAAAAATGGGGATATTATATATTCTTTAATCTTTGTATGTAATAACAAAAATAGTCCTATATTGCTCATATTTTTTAGTTGCAGCAGGTTGAGAAATATTTTGATACAATCCCTTTCAGGATTAAAAAAGAGGAATTGTGCTGTATTTTGTTGGCCTTGTCTTGTAGGTAGATTTGGAGGGATTGTTTTTCCTGTCATTTCTTTCAATCTGCAGAAAGAACACCCAGGAAATCACAGGACAAGATGCAATTTCAGGTATCCAGCTCAGCACCCAAACTAGTCACCATTTAACTCTGGAAGCAAAGACCAGAATGAACCCTCATACATTGTGCCAGTGCGGATGAGCTTGGTATCATTCATCTTTCTCAGAAATAATAAAAATCCCAATGCTATGAGGAGCTAACTGTGCAAAGTTATTTCTCCATTTATAACAGGAGTATGAGAAGGATTCATAATTCACCTGATTTTGGATGCACCCTCTGCCAAGACTAGATTATTCTGGGAAGAGATCACAGTTGAAAACAATGGTAAAAACTTCTTTAGTTTTAAAATTATGCTTAATGCCAGAAATGAGCCACACACAGGATGAGTCGTCTGACTATGGCTAGAAGAGTAGTGGGTGGCGGCCCATGGGTAGGTTCCTTACAGTTTGGAGAGGAGTCAGGAATGTGGCTGGACCTGGGTAATGTTTGATATTAACCTTCCCACTCCTCTATAGCAGACTGCTAAAGGAGTCCAACAATAACACATATCAAAATTTCTGGAGCAGTGCAAATGTTGCTAAGTACAATGGTGAAAGAATCTTGAAAATACTCTATGGTAGAGACAACGTCATGAAATGTCCAGTGACAAGACCTGTCTTCACAGAAGCATTTCCAGCTGGTGTAGGGATCATGAAAAGCCAGCTATATAGCTACCATTTTCATAGATAGATTCTGACCCATGTTGACTCCTTTTTAATAAGACACAAGATAATTCTATGAAATTAAGAGTGCAATCAGGAAGATTTAAGGGATTAAAACATAAGAAGTGAGATAAAAACTGAAGACTGAAACTAGATCGGCATTGAATTCTAATTTTCTTTATTGACCAAAATATTTTTGGATTGAAATGTGTCTGTTGAATAGAATTACGTTTAATCCTTGCCAAGGAAGAATAGATATTTAGAGCCAACCAGAATAAAATGAGCTTCATGTTTGCGTATATCTGAATAGTATACATCACTCAAAGTAGCTCTTTCATTTGCTTGAGTACATAGAAGTCACTTCTTATACTATCTATCTATCTATCTATCTCTGCCTATTGGCCTATACATCTATCATCTAGGATGCTTGTCTCAAGGATAGTTCAAAACTCTCTGGAGAATGCTTCAAATGTCAATAAAAATAGGTTGGGTAAGCTTTATATATACCAGTGCTCAATGAATGACTATATGATTGGTATGGTTTATATCTAGAATGTCCAACAAAAAATCTCATGCTGTTAGAGATGGGACTTTTGGAAAGCGATTAGATTATGGGACATTACACTCATCAGTGGGTTAATCCACTGAAGAGTTCAGAGCTGAGTGTGCTATTAGGAGGTGGGATCTGTTCAGAAAAGCCAAGTTTCTGGGGGCAGGACCTGGAAGGGTGTGTCTCCTTCCTGGCTCCATCTTCTGTGCTATGCTCCTGGCATCCATGAAACAAGCAGATTTCCTCTTCTGTGCCCTTCAGCCATACCCTTTTTGCCTGGGAGCCTGCCAACTATGGATCGTAATCATGAGACATAAAAACCTCTCCTCCTTTACATTACAGATTACAGATTGTCCCAATGATGAACAGAGTGACTAAGGCAAAGATCACTCATATGTCCATATTCATTGACCTCAGTGCAGAATTTTGTACTGTCAATAGTCATGACTTACTCAATTATACTCAAGTTCAGGTTCTTGAATTTGTCCGTGATGGTTTATAACTATTTCAGAAGTTATAATAACTTTCATAATTTTACTTATTTCAATAGCCTTTGATTCTTGTTGGAATAACTCTGATATAGTCTTTTAAGCTACTATTTAGGGCTGGGGATTTAGCTCAGTGGCACCACTCCTGCCTTGCAAGTGCAAGGTCCTGAGTTTGATTCCTGAGACTAAGAAATTTATATATATATAACTATATATATATAGTTATATATATAGTTATATATATATATAGTTTTATATATATATAGTTATATATATATATATATATATATAAAACTATTCATATAAGCCAGGTGTGGCACATGCCTATAATCCCGGCACTTGGGAGACTGAGGCAGGAGGATTACTGTGAGTTTGAGGCCAGCCTGAAATATGTAGCAAGTTCAAAGCCAGTGTGAACTGTATAGCAAGACTATTCCCCCAAAATCCTATTCATATAATAACAAGAATTTATATGACGATGTGTAGTAACTATGACATATTTCTTTTTTCTCAAAAAATGCTAATACTTTAAAAATTTGTTTTCATCAAGCCTTTACTCTCACTAGGGCTGTGTCTTAGTTATTGTTCTCATTGCTGAGACAAAATACCTGAAAACCAAGGTCAAAGGAGGAAAGGTTTATTTAGCCCACAGTTTGTAGAGGTTTCAGTTCATAGTTGTCTGCCTGCACAGCAGAATGGCATGGCAGAGGGGCATTTCAGAGAAATAGTTTATGGTGGGCAGAAGGCAGCAAAGTAGCAAAGTAGTGAAAAAGCAGCAAGAGATAACAGCAGCCCTCTTTCTGGCCCTTATATCGTATCCAGGTAACACACCCTTAGGGCGGGTAGCATTCACATCCAGGGTGGGCCTTCTCATTATCCACACCCAGAACTATGCCAAACCAATCAGTGGACTAAGTTAGGACTCACATACCCTTGATCCCAGTATCACACACTCTAGATCCAGCCACCTCTGAAAAGCCCCACCTATGACCACATGAGGCTGGGGGAGATATCTAGACACAAGTCATAACAAATTGTTTATATCACTGTACATATCAAGGTAGAACTAGATACAATTATCATTATTTTAGTGATTCTTGACCTATAAAATCCCATAGGGTTTCATATAGGTAAGAAAAAACCTTTTCAAAATTTATTCACAATTTAAAATCCATTTTAATTTCATAGTTTCTATGAACATTCTTCTGATTACCTTAATACAAACATAACTCTGTAACAGTGGGAAATGCCAAAATACCAAGGAATTTAAAGGCTAAGATAATCACCAAGTTCAGGGGATGTGATTGGTTGTCACAACACGTAGTCATATTTCTAATCAGCGCTTCTGGACATGATTATATGAAGAAGGTTGTCTTCAAAACTTAGAGTCAATGAACATATTGAATGAAGGTTGATAAGTATCTCTATAGTAAGTCAAGACAAAAATGTAAACTAATGCTAAAATAATCAGTGTCATAAAATTCACAAACAGTGGTTATCAAAACTACAAATGGAAGCATACCTTGTTCTTTAAAATATAGTATATGTAGGCAAGTATCTTTCTCCCCACAAATAAGCATTTTATATATGAAGTTCCAAGAGTGTTGAAAATCCAGTGTAAGCCCTGGAGGATTTAGAGAGAACATTTGATTATCATTAAATCTAATGATATTATAAATCTTTCCTGGTTTATTTCTTAATAGAACTTAAATATAGTGAGATCTCATAGGATTGCCCTTAAATAATATCCAGGCATTTGAAATAAAACCCTGAAAGATGATTTTCATGACATTATCAAATGAAAAGGGCATATGGTAATAGATTATAGAATCTTATTTTTGTTACATTTAAATTATTGGCATCCTTTCTCTCTGTCTCTATGTCTATCAGTCTCTATCTCTTTCTGTCTCTCTCTCTCTCTCTTGCTTTCTCATTCTCTCTGTGTGTGTCTCTTTCTCAAGCACACCTTGAGCTATTACTAAAATTAAGAACATATTAGCCATACTTCTCAACAATTTCTTGTATCTTTTGTAATATTTCTCATCCAAATCTTCCAACCTACCCTCAGTCATAGGTAAACATTAATCTAGTATCTGCTTCCCCTCAATATGTGTTAGTTTGTATTCTCTAGAAATTGTGAAAATGTAGTCACACAGTAGGTGTTTTTGTTGTGTTTTGTAGTCTTGACTTCTTTAATTATTTTGAGACTGACTCATGATAATTATCAGTGGTTTGTTTATTTGTTTTTGGTAAGTAGTAAGCCATTGAATGGATATATACCATAATGTGTTTATCTATTCACCACCCGATGGGCATTTGTGTTGATTCACCTTTTTGGATATAATGAATGATGCTGCTATAAAAAGATTTGTGTATAAGTCATTGTATGCCTGTGTATTATCATTTCACCTGGGTAAATACCCAAGGATGGAATGTCTGGGTCAATGGGAAACTCGTATTTAACTTTTAAATAAATTGCCAAAATATTTCCCAAAAGTGGATGTTCCGCTTATATTTTCAAATCTGACATAGAAAAAATCCCCTCAGAAGTTGCCAATCCCATCCTCACAAGAAAATGTTGGATGAACTGAAAGTCAATGGATTTCTGTGATTCATTGGAGAACAAATATCTTAGAGGAAACTACCATCCTGAAAACTTGAGAGATAAGTGAATTAAAAAAGATGCAATGTCCAGGCTTTGCTTACACAGGTAGATCTTCAACACTATCACTGTTAGAATCCCTTAGTACTTAACTGGTAATTTTGATGGATTGCTGGAGGCTGAATGCTGAGTAATGTGAAAGTGGGAAACTCCCAAAGGCTGCAATTAGAAAGAGACCCTCACACCTTTTCCAGACTTTCCCTCCAGGACTCCCACCAGGTTCTCCATTAAAAAAAGTCCCCTTTTGGCCCTCACAGAGGAGGAAAGTGCAGTATATATCCCTAGCTTGATGCTCCTTTCTAAAACAAGCCTACTTTCTAGGGGAAAAGATTCTGCCAAAAGGCAATGCTAAAACCTACCTCACTTGGCAGAATGAATTTTCACCCACTAGAGCCTGCTCTTACCTTTCAGTTCCACCTAACAAAAACTTTTTAAAAAGACAACCAACAGGAGAAAAGATATCAAGGAAACAGACTATGAATTCTGCAACTAGGAAAGAAATATTAGGGAAAGGGAGGAAAAAGGTATTCATTTGGAGGAGAAACAAAAATACTTGGAAAGGTCTACTTTGAAATACAGACTTGGGCTGGGGATTTAGCTCAGTGGCACCTCATCTGCCTTGCAAGCACAAGGTCCTGAGTTCAATCCCTGGTACCACCCCCCCAAAACAAACAAACAAACAAACAAACAAACAAAAAAAGGGAAAAGAAATACAAACTCATTAAAACACTAAGATTCATAAAGAAGATTATCAAACATGTTTCCCTATCAACCACACCATTATGACAGTGGAA